GCTGGAAATGGTCTAAGCTTTAAAATAATTTGCCCCACATTCTTTAAAAAATACATCCTTAAATAATGATTTGACATTATTTTAATCACAAGTTATTCAATAAAATAATATTACACGCAAATTTAAAACATTTTCTTATTTTTAACAACATATTTCCTATCAATACACTATTTAAAAATATATTATTACGGAAATAATGTTGCTCAAACAAGGGCTAAATATACTAACCTTTAAGTAACTTGTATCTCCAAATAGAATAATGATGAAATTTCATTGGGTGTCAAAATTTGGCTGTGCAATATCAAATATGTCACCTTTTAAAATTTCTATCAAAAATATCAATTTAAGACTTTTTGACCCTCTAAATTATTTAAATACCTTATATATTAACTTTTAAACAGAGGCTTGCAAATCATGAATTTACACAACAGGCCCCCATCTCCAATCACCAAATCTGCTGAAAATCTGGACAACAAAATTTTTTTCTTTTATTTTACAGCGCATACAATGGTCGACACTTACGGCAAAGACCGCCTTTGCTGCTGCAATTCAGCAGCGGCGAGACAGCGGATGTGAGCGTGAGAGCTGCTAACTGCCTTTAACTTTTTTTTCTTTTTTTTTTTTTAATTTCGACCTAAAATTTATATTCTTTTCAAAATCAAATTTTTAAAATTTTAAATCATTTAATTTCAATTGCTAGAAACATGAAAAATGGAGAATATGCATATATCTAATGATTATAATATATAATTTTAATATATCCAATGATTATAGTATATAAATTTAACTAATCAAATCATAACATTAATTGGATTGTAAAGCTAGCATTAAATGCTCCTAACAAAGGGACATGAAGGATAAGTTGGATATTTCCCACAAAAAAAGTGACATTTTTTTATAAAATTAGGTGCACGTGCAATTTTTTTTGTGCATTATCAAAAAAAGTGACATTTTTTATAATTCCCATAGAATAATTTACTTTTTTTATTTCTATTTTATATCACTAGAAAAGAAAATTACGCGTAATTTTCGATTAAAAAAAAGAAAAAAAACCTTGTAGTGTTTGGCAAGGCTTAACGAGTTTACTAACTACAAAAAAAATGTAGTAAATGAGCATGGATAGATTTTTTATTGGTGATATTAGATGGTCATTGTCGATAGTTCTAATAAAAATCAATAATCTTGATTATTATGAATGCACCTCCATCATACATTATCGACAACTATAGATAGTGCAGGGACCACCATCGCTAATGAAGAAACTCTAGTGTCATCGATGAAAATTTATTCTTTTGTTTATTTATTTTTATTTGAATGCACATACGTAAGACAATGTCAACGATTATCAACAAAGCATCAATTGCCATCGTCGACGAAGAAAATTTGGCGTCACGATGAAAGATTGTCCTTTTGTTTGTTTTCCATTTTTTTGGTTAAGTAAATGAAATATTTCATTGATATCACCTGGCAAAATAAAATAATAATAATAATAATAATAATAATAATAATAATAATAATAATAATAATAATAATAATAATAATAATAATAATAAATTTACATATCAAAAAAATATTTCATTGATATCTTTTATTTAAGATATTAAAAAGGGAAAATTGCAGCCGAGACATTAAACCTTTCGCTTATTAGCAAATTTTGCCCAAACCTTTAGTTTGTGCCACTGGAGGTACCAAATCTTTCAAAAATTTACACCCGAAGTCCAAATGGATGGAAACCGTCCGTTTGACCGTTAGTTGACCAATAAAATTAAATATTGACCAATTTTTGACTAATTGAAAAGGGTAAAAAAGTAAAAATTACTTAACCCTATAATAAAACAATTAAAATAAATAACTAAAACTAAAAAAGATACTATTCATTTTCTTCTTCACCCACCCTACCCCCACCAAGACACCATGTTCTTCCCTTTTTTGCCAGTTTTCTTCAAAAAAACAGAAAAACCAACACAAAAGTAAAAAATGCAGAGAAAATCTATGAAGTAAAAGAGTTGATTACCAAATCCATAGCCTCCCTCTTCAGAGCATCCATAGCTTCATCTTTTTTCACCATCTCTAAACGCACAAACAAAAACAACTGAAAAATCAATTTTTAAAACCAACATATGCAAGTATATATGCAAACCCACAAATCGTCATGTAAATTTATGTTGAAATTAGATGAAAACACCAAGTAAAATTGAAAAGGGAACTCACTGGACAAATTGATTAAATAGTGTGGTATAGGTAGAAATGATGTGCAGAGGGTGGGTTGGATTAGAAATGGAATGGAGCAAATTCTGCCATCCTTTTGATCTCTATCTTCTCTCACTCACACGCACTCACTCGTGTTTTGGAAGGAGGAAGAGAATAGTTTACATTTTACAGTTTACAGTATGGTTTGGATGGCGTGGGGGGGGGGGTAGGGTGAAGAAGGAGATGAATAGTATTTTTTTTTGTTTTTTTGTTTTAGTTATTTATTTTAATTGTTTTATTATAGGGTTAAGTAACTTTTACTTTTTTACCCTTTTCAATTAGTCAAAAACTGGTCAATGTTTAATTTTATTGGTCAACTAACGATCAAACGGACGGTTTCCATCCATTTGGACTTCGGATGCGGATTTTTGAAAAATTTGATATCTCCAATGGCACAAACTAAAGATTTGGACAAAGTCTGCTAATAAACGAAAGGTTTGGTATCTCAGCTGCAATTTTCCCTATTAAAAATAGATAAGTATTATGAAAAGAGAGAATAAGAGAATATAAGAGTGAAACTCAAATGTGTATTATTAAGAGCAAATATCATATATTTATTGGGTCTAAAATAAGAGTTACAATTTGAATGAAATAGATATTTTAAACTAAATAAGAGTTATTTATATATCATGATAATATCAAATAATCATCAATAATTATCTCATTATTTTACAATAATAAATTATTTTTTCAAATTTTTATTTTATTCCAGATGACTATTACTTTTTATATTTACAATGCTTCTCCTCTGCCCCCACCCTCTCTTCTCTAAATCACTTAAATTTATTAATATATTCGTTTTTTTAACAATTAAAAACCATTACAAACTCTGTTATTAATGTTACTTTTTTTACTCCCAATTTATTTGATTTAAATGAAAAAAAAATCCCAAAACTACACAAATATCAATTAATCCGACTCGAAAAGCAGTTGATCTTGATCAAATTGATATTGAGAGTTAGATATGACCCTTTGTTTGAAAATCCAATTGAGAGTTGGGCAAGATTGGAGAATCAACATGGCACATGAGCACAATGATCGGCATTCGTGAAAAAGAGAGTGAAAGAAACATCAAAAATTAAATTTTTAGGCACCAATATAATAAGAGAAGTAAAATTTAGCTTCATGAATATTTGAGGTCACAAAAGAGTTAATAAAAATTTATAAGTTTCCTAATTTATGACTGATTAGTCTTGCAATTATAATATAATGTTGATACCCAATTTTTATTTTTATTTTTTTTGTTTTCAAAACTCGTTATTTAAAGTTTAAACAGCATTATTAATACTGCAAATTTTCCATTTTTATAGTACCATCTTTTGTACACACTTCCACAATTTTGTAACACGTGTAAATTTTCACTTGCTTCAATATTATTGATACTCGACATGTGACTCTTCCTAGATCCCTTTCATCGAAGACTTCAATTTTTAATTGCCGAAATCTTCCAACAAACTACTTTCATACTTATAAAGCATTACGAGAAATGTCAAGATTTACACCAGCATCAATTTAATGTTTTGCATACCACTTTCCGAGTACTGATTTTTCAATGTTTTTTTGGATGATTTTTGTGTGTGTGTGTGTGTGTGAGTGAGAGAGAGAGAACTATAAAATTTATTATTTTCCTTTCTTCAACTCTAACATCAAATCACTAAAGATAATTTTACTAAGTTAGAAAATATTGTAAAATATAGGAAATACTCATTAATCATATGTATATATACATTATTCTCTTCTATGAAGCTTTCTCACGAAAGGGGCCTTAGTTCGGTTTTGATTTTTTGAGAATAATTTTTCTTCCCTACTTGTTTTCAATCATACAATCTTCCCAAATATTATTTTTCCCATTTCCTCATAACTTTCCTAATTTTTAATCACACATTCATAGAGAAGATAGTTTCAAATAATTACTTCTCTAAAAATCTTTATCAAACAAGTGCATAATCATCAAACTAATAAAATTAGACATGCATTCCTAACAAATTTTAAAGTAAATAATGCGAATGGAAGAAAATTATGTGAAACACTAGACTGCACGTTAATTTACGTAGGACATGTGAATGAAAAAGATTTAAAATAATGTTAATTAGATGAAAATGAAATAATAATTGAACTTTAGGAGAATAAAAACGCTAAAAAAAAATTGATAAGTGTTACAAAATGTATTATAAATCACGTGATTTGTTATCTTCAATTATGGACATTTTGGTCCATTTAAATTTCTAATTTCAAAATTTTTCATATAACAGGGATTGAATATGATCCCATATATACTCATTTTAAAGACAAAGATGTTTGACAATTGAAATTAATCGAAAACATTTTTCATCTTTGACATTCCTAAACCCTCAAGAGTTAAGACCATGTTTGACCCCTAATCCTTAAAGAGAAGCATGAATGAATGGTTTGAAAATTTTCTAAAAATAAATCCAACCAAATGCTGCCAACTCACTCTGTCCACACTTTTCGTGTTTTTAACCCTGTTCAATCATTATTATTATTTTTTAAAATTCATTTTCAATCACAAATTTTTATGAGATCCAATACCTTATCAACATTTAACTAAATATTTCATCAAATTTTATCAAAATATACGAAAATTTTAATTTTTATCCAAAACAAATAGGAGCTAAATTTTTCATTATAGTTATAATCTACAATGGCGGAAACTTCCAAATCTTCGTCAAACCGCGACACAATCCTCACGAAAACAAGTTTCAATTCAAATTGCAAGACACCGCTTTCAATTAAAGTAAAATGTATAAAGACATGTATATCCAAGGTCACACAAGGATACAACACAAGTTTCGGTATGTAGTTTGCGCAGTGGATTTGTAACATTTATCTGTCAAATTTCACTTGCTTCATTAGTATTGATACTTGATATATGACTTCTCCAAGATCTTTAATCCCTAAAACCCATTTGATTTCCAATTGACAATGCTAAAATGTCAGTAATATATGACATAATTACTCTGCCTTTATGGGTATAAATACAACATGGGCTCAAAATGTAAAAACAACATGGGCTAGGCTAGGTTGGGACGGGATGATCATGGCTCTTGATTTAAGGAATTCTTCTCACGTACATCTGGTTTCACATTGGTATCAGTTGCAGCATTGTCAAGAATGTTTGATGTTTTCTTGTACACCATTGGCAATTCATCATGGGATTTGTTTTCCTCGTACACTAATTCGTCCGAGTTTGAATTCTCTTTACTCTTACCCCATACAACTGAGTAGAGTCCAAATACAATGATAATTGCTCCTATTAAGCTGCAAGTACAAATATACACACATTTTTAACTACTAATAATCGAACAATTATGTATCAAGAAATATAAGCGACGATCATAATTGATAAAAATTCTCACGCTAAATTAACAAGTGCGATGTATGCCGATGAAGTGTGCATTAGGTACAACTTGTTTGGTGTGTGTTTCCGCGAGTGGGGATTGCAAAAGAGATGGGCCTGGCAGGGACGAGGAAGCCCTCCTTGTCACCATCTCCTTTGCATTTGGTAGGAGGCATGATCAAGATTAAAATATTCATATTTTTTGCTAACTATTTTTTTTTTAACTTAAAGATTTTAATTTAAAAACATAAATATATTGTATATAATGAAATAAAGAATAAGATTCGGGACAGGACTATTTTTCCCGTACCCAACCCAAACACCGACTAACTGGGGAATCCCAACCCTTATGGGATTGGGCAACACGGGACACGGCGAGGGCAATGAACGACTGCTAGCCGCTGTATAAAGTTTTTGAAACAAATTTTACCTGTCGAAAAAACTTCATATAATAAAAGTAATTGGCTTGTTCAACAAAATTACAAGCACGAAAGTTACCTTCCAATGTGAATTTGCTCAGCCAAAACCATGGCTCCCAAAATAGCTGTGATTATCATGCTTAGAGGACTGAATGCAGTCACAAACACTGGACCTCGTGCCTTGTTGACAACACTTTGCAGATAATATGCAATTCCTGAGCAAATAATCCCCTGCAATGAAGTACATATATTTAGATACAATATCTTATAAAGAAGGAATTACGATAGGTTGATAGTCAACATAAAATTTTGTCACATATTATGATATGATTCTTGACATGAAACTATGACTTAATTAGACAAAGTGTTTCAATGTTCGCATTCCTTGAAAATATACAATGCTTTGTTAGGGAATGCTCCCGAGCAAAGTGTACATACTTCGTGACCGTTTTAGGGTTTTTTTCACCTAGTCTAGCTCTATTCTCTCAATGTGTTACAAAGTTTTATTCTCAATACGCCTGTCGTGTGTTTGATAAAGTTGAATGCTTGTTGAGAATTAAAAACTCTAATTCTGCCACCAAGAACAAAAATTCATAGAAGAAAATGCAAACGAGATCACACAAGATTTATGTTCCCTTTGATTTGAGACTACGTCCTCTTTAGTCGCTGCAGTAATTGATCAACACTATGCAAAAGGGAATAAAGCCAAAATAGTGTATTGTCCAGCGTTATCATATATAATCCTATACCAAACATGTCATTAAGAGAATATATAAATTGCTTTTCGTCCTAATTATTGAAATTTACTCACAGAATATACAGCAGCCAAAAGTCTTGAGTCAAAGCCAATTGCCCAGGCATTGGTATGGTGTTCCATTATTATAGCCACAACTCCACCTTCCACCATTCCCATGAAACAAACTAATGATGTAAGAGAGAGCTCTGCAGGATATTCCTTCAGTGTCTTATTCTATCCAAACCATATCAATATTTAACTTTAATTAAAACTAAAAGAAAAAATTTCAATAAATTTGAGTGTACGTAAATGACATATTTGTTAAGCTCGATTAGATAGGACTAGATATAATTTTGTAATGATCTTGTCTAATCCTATCTGGATGGACATAGAACTTACTTGAACTATAAAGAAACCAGACCAACCCACAATACAAGAAAGCAACATAATTGTGCCAGTGATCCAGTGTTGATCGGTTGAGCCAACGATGCTAGCGGTTTCATGGTGGCTTCTGCCGAGTGAGTGGGGAAGAATATCAACTACAGGGCCTTTGTAGAATGTCATGAGCATTGCACCTAAGAGTGTTATTCCAGTTCCAATGACCTTTGCTAGACTGTGTATCTGTTTTAAGTTAACCTTCTCCAACCTGTAAATATGAAGTACATGTGATCAGATTAAAATTTATTTAGAAAAGCACAAAATTTTAATATGCTTATGTTCGGGTTTCTTTTATTTTTCGAGAAATGAGTGGTCGATATGTGTATAATATCGTGGATCCTTTAAAAGTAACTTTTTAGTTACAAATGAAAATAAAACCCACATAGAGGCAATAAATAGTTTTGAAGAAATGATAATATGATTTTCTTGAGGTGTCGAAACGAGTAGGTTGGATCCAGATGGCTTGTCTTAGAGGCTTGGTCCCACATTTTTCAAAAGGATTTTAGTAAAAGTAAAATAAAAATGATTATTATTTATTTATTTATTATTATTATTATTTTTTTTTTTTTGATAAAAATGTCTACATGGGCAACATGTCATCAGGGGCCAAGTCTAGACTGGTTATCAGCTTGGAATTTTTACAGATGAACCTGGCTTGGGTCGATCTGCCTATTTTGACACTTCTAAATTTTTTAAGGGGAAATTGTAGCAATGATCCCAAACCTTTTCAATTTTTGCAGATTTTACCATAACCTTCGATTTGTGCCAACGAATGTTCTTAACTTTCAGAAATATGCACTTGGGATCCAAATGTTGTCCATTTGACCGTTAGTTGAACCAACAAAAGTGGAGTTTGACTAATTTTGATCAAATTAAAATGGATAAAATCATAACTTTGCTATTATATACATAAAATAATGGAAAACCCAGAAATAAAATAAAACAGAACAAAATAAAAAGAGAGAAAAGATAAAAATTAAATATCATCTTCTTACACATCTCACCTACCTCCCCCCACCTACAAAAAAAAAAAAAAGAACCAAAGTCTAGAAACAACTTGCCGACCATCTGCTACTTTCGGCCATCTCCAGCCACCACCGTAAACAAAAACCAAAAAATCATCTTTCTTTGTGTAAACGGTTGCATTTTCTTCACTTTCTCCTAACAATGGCGGCTATAAACCTCCTCTCTCAAACCCCAACAATCCTTTCCATAAAATCCCCGAAATCCTCATTTACTTGGTTTCCCATAAAACCCATTTCAACCTTCAAACTCAAGCCTACTTCAAAAATCGCCTCTTTGTGCATACGAGCAATTCTATCCCTCGTTGAGCTCCAAACCCAGAACCTCGAGCATTGTTTCACGAAATCTGAAGATGGGTATTTGTATTGTGAGGGAAATAAGGTTCAGGTGGGAAATTCTTTGTGTTGGAGAAGTAAAAATTCTAATGAAGAGGCTGCTTGGGTAGTGGATTTGGGAGGCTAAGGGTGTGAGAAGAATAGTATTTTTCCTTTTTTATTTTTATTTTTTTTTTGATTATTTATTTTAATTTTTTTATAGAGTTAAATAGCAAAGTTACACTTTTACCCTTTTAAATTAGTCAAAATTGTTCAAAGTTCAATTTTATTGGTCAGCTAAAGTTCATATGGATGAGTTTCCATTAATTTGGACCTTAGGTGCATATTTCTGAAAGGTTAGGGATCTTTGTTGACACAAATTGAAAGTTATGGTAAAGTCTTCAAAAATTGAAAAGATTTGGAACCGCTGCTACAATTTTCCCATTTTTTAATTAGTATATTTTGGTTGATGTCGTCTCAAACTCAACTAAGAATAAATACACAAAAAAAAAAATGGGAAAGTTATGCCGTGCACATCGATCTAACTCTCTTTTCACCTTTGAACCCCGTCAAACTAGTATAATACAAAGTTTTGTTAATGAATCTGGGAAAGTAAAGATATACCTGAAAATAACAGCCATTATGAAGGTGATGCCTGGGAGAATGTTGACAGTTGCTGCTGTAAAAGTTGCTGATGTATACTTCATTCCAACATAATACAAGTTTTGATCCAGGACAGGCCTGATGATAATACAAAAATGATAGATAAGTTCAAATTTTGGGCATATACAGCCTAATCGGGTTTATTTAATGCAGATAAGGTCGACTGAACTATACTATTAGATGAAAATCTTGTAAGATGGCGCAGAAAAGCAATATATTGTAGTAAATAAGTGAAATGATCAAGAAGATTACTCCAGGAAAGCAAGCAGCATTATCTTCAAAAAGACTGATAGTGTTAGCTTAGGCCTTATTTTCCTGCAAATTAACATGCAAATAGCATTGTTACACACACACACACAGCGAGAAAAATGAATTTATATTATAAGGAGAAATAAAACTAACATGCGTGGCATACATGCACTTATGCACATGTATATGAATGATGTACTAACCTTTCGAGGAAAAATGCAAAAGGCGCAAAAACCATCGTGGCAACTGCATGGCGGTACACGACTAGAATCCAGTGACTGAACCCACGCTTGAAGGAAAGCATTGTGATAATGTACATTCCGGCATAGCCGAATTGTAGAGACACCATGGCCAAATAGGGCTTCATCTTATTGAAGGCCATACTTGTAATCCCCCATATGGATTGCTCTCCCATTCTCAGTCTCAAATTTTTCTATGCACAATTGTAAATGCCTGGGACATACAAAAATGAGAAGTTTTGGGCTTTTATACACAAATCAAAAGCGAAAAAGATCGAATAATTCTTGTAAATTGGCGCACTAACTCTATTCCCCTCTAGGAATCAAATTCAAGAAACTAGAATCTTTCCACTAATTAAAATAATCCTAAAAGAAAGATAAATAGTTTAACATGAATCTCCACCACATGTTAAATATTTTTCCAAGTTTAATTTGTTATTGGTTAACTATTTCATCTAAAAAATTAAACTATTAAATGCAGTAAAATTATTTATTTTGAAATTAATTCTAAACATGTCCTCTCATATACGCACAGTGTTCTAAAAAACGTAATGCGTAATGATACGTGGAGGCCAAGTTATGGGTTAGGGGAGCTTAGGCGAGGCATAGGCGTAAAAAAACATAAAAAGACGTTTTCATATTTTAAAATTATTTTAATTTTTAATCAATGGAAAAATCGTTTGATAATTAAAAATAATATCTACCAAACATTTAAAACAAATTTATAAGAAATTTATACATTTTTCCAAAGTTTTCAATAAAAAGATAATTTCCAAATGTAAATATTAAATAGTAAATAAATAGGAGTTTTTGGGAGATTTTCTTTGTTTTACACTTCAAGTGACCATTTTGAATTTAGAACTGATGAATTAAAGAAATCAACTTTTTAGTTTTAATTTAAAAGAATTGTAAAATTAAAAAATTTAAAATAAAAGATAGTTATGCTTGCCTAGGCTTGATTAACCGTGTCTATGCACGCATTAGCGGTCTACGATTGCTGTTGACCACTAAATAAGGCGCCAAGCCACTTGACTTGGCGTCTCTGCTGCGCATTGGTGACGCTTAGGCGCCACTACTACGTGACTTTTAGAACAGTGCATACGCGTGGTCGTGCTCTTTTTTTTTTTTAATTGAATATATATGTGCACAATTTTCCTATATAGCCCATGTGACTTGAGTTCAAATTTTTTATTGCTTTTATACTATGTTGAACCATCCATAATTAAATTATTTTTATTATATTTTGCAAAATGACCACCAAATATTTATTAGGGTTTAGTGCTATGTGATACATGTAGGACTATGGGATGATGAGTGGACACTCTTCTTGAAAATGCAATGCATGTTTATCTTGTTTATTAGGTACGTGACTAAATTTTCTTTGATTGGATTTGTATTTTTTTTAATAAATAAATCAAATAGTAGTAGCAAAGGCCAATAGTTATCTTGTCCTTACGCATAAATCCAAAGTATACATAAATTATTTGCATTCAATAGAAGTTTAATATTACATAATAACGAGGTCAATAATTACATTACAAAGACTATTGAGTTTTTAATTACTGCGTATCAATTAATCATTTCCCTCATCGCTAGCACTATTTTTTTTTTTTTGGTGGGAGTTAATATATTTGTACAAATTTATAACGATTTTTCCATCTTTCTCCACTCACGTTCATATCATTTTCTCTAAAAGAAAAGATTTTAATAAAGTGGTCCTTGACGATATAGAATTCTTAACTAATAATTCAAGGGATGTGCCTTCTTTTTCTTTTTCTTTTTTCATTTAGTTTTTATTTTTGATAATTTTTTGGTTACGTGTACAGGGAATTCTTAACCACACTTTAAAGCCCTTTCATAAAGAAATGAGATAATTGTAGCAAAAGTTTCAAAGTTTTGAAACACTAGTAAACTTTCTCTAAACCTTTGATTTATTGCAATCGTCACCCTAACCCTTCCAAACGTTGCATGTGAAATTTTTTTGGACAGTTTTCATTCAAAATTCCGTCAATTGACGAAAAAAAAAAAGATTTTGACCCCATTTTAACAATTTTAAAGAGGTAGAATGGTGACTTTACATTAAAATCAAAAAACAAAATTGGTCTTCCTCTTCCCTAATCCACCCCCACCCCACTATGATTTGGAAATTCCGAGGGATCAACTCTGAAAGGAGGGCTACATTTTTAGCAAATATACTGATTTTTAGCAAGCAATTGTACTCAATAAGATGCATAGAAATGTTACAAAACACACAAATTTTGAGAAACTTAAAAAAAAAACTTTTTTTTTTTTTTTTTTTTTTTCAACCACTCATTTTTTTATTAAAAAAAATACTATTCCACTAATTTTAATTTGAAAAAATGGAGGGGGAGGGGGAACGGGTGCTAAATTGAACATTGGGGGTATGATAGGGCTCGTGTACCTCGTTCTCATAATTATATACGTTCTATTTACATGTCAAAGGTAAATGGATAAGTGTCTCGCATGTTTCTTTTCTTTGTTTACGTTCAAATTTTTTTTTTTTTTTTTAATTGAAAGAGAATCGCCTCATTTACTTATATTTCTTAATCATATTTAGTTCAAGAAGACATATAGAATGACCACCAAGTATTTATTAGGGTTTAGTGCTATGTGATACATGTAGGATTGTGGGATGACGAGTGGACACTTTTCTTGAAAATGCCATGCATATTTATCTTGTTTATTAGGTACATGACTAATTATCTTTGATCGGATTTTTATTTTTTTTAATAAATAAATCAAATAGTAGTAGCAAAGGCCAATGGTTATCTTGTCCTTACACATAAATCCAAAGTATACACAAATTATTTGCATTCAATAGAAGTTTAATATTACATAACAACGAGGTCAATAATTACATTACAAAGACTATTGAGTTTTTAATTACTACGAACCAATTAATCATTTCCCTCATCGCTAGCACTATTATTTTTTTTTTTTTTTTTGTGGGAATTAATGTATTTGTACAAATTTATAACGATTTTTTCCATCTTTCTCCACTCACTTTCATATCATCTTCTCTAAAAGAAAAGATTTTAATAAAGTGGTCCTTGACGATATAGAATTCTCAACTAATAATTCTAGGGATGTGTCTTCCTTTTCTTTTTCATTTAATTTTATTTTTGATAAATTTTTCGTTACGTGTACGGGGAATTCTTAACCACACTTTAAAGCCTTTCCATAAAGAAATGGGATAATTGTAATAAAAGTTTCAAACTTTTGAAACACTAGCAAACTTTCTCTAAACCTTTAATTTGTTGCAACAGTCACCTTAACCTTTTCAAATGTTGCATGTTAGATCCTTTTGGACGGTTTTCATTCAAAATTCCGTCAATTGAACAAAAAAATGATTTTGACCACATTTTAACAATTTTAAAGAGTGAGAATGGTAACTTTACATTAAAATCAAAAATCAATAAATAAAATTGATCTTCTTCTTTCCCAACCAATGCCCACCCCCACCCCCACCCCCACTATTATCTGAAAAATTTGAGGGATCAACTCTAAAAGGAGGGCTACATTTGTGGGTTGGTTTTAGTGCTTCAATTTTCCAAATCCAACTGTGGGGTGGGGGTGGATTTGGGGTGGGTTAGGGAAGAAGAAAACCAATTTTATATTTTGATTTTTTGTTTTAATGTAAAGTTATAATTCCGTCCCTTTAAAAATTGTTAAAATGCGTTCAAAATCATTTTTTAATCAACCGATGGAAATCGTCCATAAGGGCCTCCCATGCAACGTTTGAAATTATTGGGGGTGACGACTGCAATAAACAAAGGTGTGGGGAATTTCTAATAGTATTTCAAAAATTTGGAGCTTCTACTGCAATTATCCGTAAAGGAATCTTTGAAAAGGACTTTATTGATAATTTCGTATTCTAAATATACAAAATTTCAAATACTTAAAACTCAAATAATATTGATGTGGATGATCCCCACTTCATACAAACTATATTATTCTATATTCTTTAAGTTTCACTTAAGAAAACGCCCCATACAATTCAAAAAAAAAATGTCGATTATATGATATAGTAATACTATAAGAGATTAGGCGCATGTCTCGTACATATAACTAGAGGAGACTGAACAATATAATAAATAAATGTTTTAATTTTGTTATTTTTTAATACTATATATTAAGTATGTCCCACATACTTTACCAAATATATTGATTTTTAGCAAGCAATTGTACTCAATAAGATGCATAGAAATGTCACAAAACACACAAATTTTGAGAAAGTATAATATTTTTAGAATAATGGAGGAAAGAGAAGAATAAAAGAAGATTTATCCAACATTTGTTAAGTAAATTAATATTTTATTGTAAAAGAAAAAGGAAATGAATTGACATAAAGAATTTAAGAAATTCTCTTACTGATTTTATTTTATGGAGATCGTAAAATATTGTTAGGCATATAATTATTCCCCCATAATAATGAATATGGCAGCAGCAAAATATTATTAAATAGAATTGTACTCTTAGGGGGGTGTATTCAATTGGGATTTTTAAAAACTTTTGGAGACTTTTTTAAGTGGGTGACTTTTGTTGACTTTGTGAATAATTTTTATGGATTTGGTAGGAATTAGTAAAAGTTTTTCCTGGATTTGTGGAGACTTTTACTAAAGACTTTTGAGGATTTTTTTTTTTTTTAAGGAAATATGCTTTTCACAGTGTTAAATGTGAGATATCGAGGAATATTTATGAGAATTCACAACATTCACTTAAAAACGAATCTTTGAAATTAGAGGGAGAGATAGAGATCAACTAGTGAAAATTTACCGTAACCTGATTTGAAGAAAACTCATAGCAAAGATTCAAAGAAATACCTAATTGGAAGAGATAGAGGAAAAACCTAGAGAGAAATAAGAATAGCATACTCTTTTTAGAAATTTCTCTATCGATGGGAGATTTTGGGAGAAAAATCCTATTTATATTTTCTATTAAAAAGTCTCTGAAAGTCCAAGAAATTTTAAATTCCCTGAAAGTCTCTCTAAATTGAATACCCCAAAACTTGTAGAGACTTCTAAAAAGTTTCAATTGAATACCCCGTAACTTCTGGAGACTTTTTAAAAGTCTATAAAAATCTCTATTGAATACACCCAAACTTTTATAGAGTCTCTAAAAGTTTCAATTGAATACACCCAAACTTTTTAAATCTCTAAAAGTCTTTAAAAGTCTCGATT